AGGCATAGACAAATTTACCCTATTTTCCCCTCCTACCTACATTTTATGCCTTCTTATATGTTTTGTTTTATTTGATATTTTTAGGAAATCCAATATAAGGAAGAAATTACTGAAATTTCTGGTTATTCTAGTTCTGCATGCATCTGTGTTGTCAGTCACAGTTGGCAGTATTCCAGCACCAAGCTGCAAAGGAAGTAAAACTTGCTAGTTACAGTTTTTTGATTCTTTTGGAAAGTGATCATTTTACTTTACCATGTGACCATATTTCTCAGATTTCCTATCTTTTGAAAGATTTTTTTTTTTTTTTAAACTTTACTGAGAGTGCAAGTGGGATTGTATCACAGCTGAAGCTCCTAGCAGCTAAAGACTGCTCAGTGAGTATTTAGAGCTTGCTATATGTAATCATTCTTGTGCACCGTCATGGCAGATTGAGCATGTCCCGAGCCAAACTTCCATAATTGTTTGTTTGCAGTTGCTGTTTTTGCTGCTTTGGATTGGGATACTGGAGCGAGACAAACTTGCTTTCCTTGTGGTATTAGTAATAACCCCTGCTGCAGGTGCTAGAACAGAGTGAGTGAGCCCAGTTTAGGGCAGTGCTGGCATTTTACCTTGTATTTATTCAAAGCTGTGCTTCCGTTGACTTCAGCTTTAGTTGGCAATGCTTAACAATCCTGTGCAGCCAAATCCAGGCTTATGTCAGGCACAGAAGAATGAAACACAGCAGTGACCACAGTGAAGAAGTTTGCATTGATAGGAAAGGTGTTTAAGCCATAAGAATTTTAGCTGTTCCCCAGGATCTCATTTCTTCCTTCTGATTAAAATACTACATGTAATGTCCCAGAATCTAGTAAGTAAAAAATACTGAGACTTCTGTGAACCTAACTGGAATTTTGGTATTCTGGAAACAGTTAATAGTTCAGTGAGTGGAGGCCATCTTGTTGCTCAGTAGAGCTGGGCTGCTTTGTGCCACGTACTGGTGCAGGAAGCTTTAAAATCTAGGGCAGCATGAAAATGTGGAACACTGAATTAAATTACTGAAATTGAGATACAGTTCAGAATATAGGAAGCTTGGAAGCTTAATAGGAAGTCAGCAGATGAACTGAAATGTATAGACACAGGGAAATGTATCTTTGGAAGGATCTAGGTACCTGAGGTTTTGCTGCTTGCATACTGAAAAATAGTCGGATCAGGTGTATCTCTCAGCTCAATGTGTATTTTATGATACAGATGAGGATGACCATGCTAACAAGGATTCAACACGTGCAAAAATAACATGGTTAAGGATTTTGAGTATGCACAATAGCTAGGCTTGGGCAATGTGTTAGATTCCTGACATGCCTTCTCAGGGTAAGACTTTTCACTTTGATTTAAACAAACTACAGGCACAATGAATGGTCAAGTGTCTCTGCTGCCATAATCCTCTGCAGAGACAAGAAAAAGATACAGCCTCTGATTTTGGAGCAAGGTGCGTGTTTTCTCTTTCTCTGCCATGGATTATGTTGGTCATTTCCTTTTTTAGTTCATTAGTTGCAATTACTTTGGGCTACCTGTTGAAGCTGAAAGAGGCAGTGAGGAAGCCAGGCTGTATTAAGGTCCACTTAACACCTGTTATGGCCCTAGCCCTGGTCTTGGCTTTGTCATCCATCATGTAATCGTATATTCTTTTCTCATTCTTTACCTTTCCCTCTTACCAGTAAAGACATGGTTTGTGTATCTATTGGGAGGGAACTGAAGTAGTGGTAGGTATGCCTTGCCCTTACATAGCTGTGCTCTGAGTTTGAAGGGGGCAGGACAAAGTACACCACATTACAGGGTATGATAAAGGGAAAAAGATCTTTTGAGTTCAAATGATACACATAGATGTCAATTACATACTTCAGGTACTGCTAGGTAATCTTTGTTTCATAATTAAGATAGCTTTAAGAATGTCTTTTTCCCTCCTGGAATTTGCTGACACACTGCTTAAACCTCAGGCATCTCCTGGAATAAGCAACACAGGCATCTGTCCTAGAGATAAACAGACCTCTTCAAAGCACTGTTTTGATTCATTCCTGGAGCTGGTTTATTATGCATATTGGATGGAGACTGGAGACCTCTGAAAAATTATTATGGCTGTGTAATTAAAGATAGCATAATACATATGCACAAAAGTGTAAAATGCAAGTAAAATGCAAATTAGTGTATTTTCTCATTTTATTTTAGTGTCTTGACTCTGCAGTTATTTTTTGGCAAAGTTACTGTTTGGAGTTTATTTATTTATTTTTAAATAACAGACAGATTATAGACACTGTATTTTGTGACATTTTTAATGAGCCTTACAAGTAAGATATTTAAAGGTAGAAAGTTGAGACCCAACTTCAACTGAAGGTCCATTTCACTTTGTGATCCTTCAAAAATCTGATCCTGCATATGCATTTGTAATTTTTCACTATGCATAATGTAGACATTTTGAGGAAGTCTATGTCATGAATGAATGTATAGATAACAGCCAAGGGCTGGGATTTAAAGTTCTGGGACCCATACCCTCTCTAAGAGTTGTTATTACTAAGCTGTCAAGGCTACAGTATTGTAAGAACTGAAATATGTTGCCATATACACTACGCTGTATGTACATGCCAAAAGTACAATCCAACATGAGCAGGCTGGACTTACTCTTTTACTAACTGAATTACTGCTGTGTAGCCAAAGGCAGTGCTTTGTAGCTGGAGATTTCTCTTTTGTCCATACTGTAGTTTATCTAAGTAGGTCTTGGGATCTTTGTCTCCTCTAGAAGATCCCAGCAGATTTTTCAGACTTGCTGGATTTTCAAACTTCTTTTCCAAGTTTTTTATTTTGCTTAGTCATTCTCTATTTTATATTTTGATTTCCATTCATGGTCCTAGTCCCAGAACTTTCTTGCAAAATTCTCATGTGCTACTGAAGACCTTTTTGAATTTTTTCTGTTGTTGGGATTGTTTGGCAGTAGATCGGTAGCCTGTGGAAACAATGCAAAAGCCAAATCTGGGGGATTGAACATACCAGTTTGTAAAACCAGGAGAACCTGTTCATGCTGAGAGATAAGGAAACATCCTCCTGTGTGTGTGTGCAGAAGCACCAGGCTTGGAAGAAATTGCTGAATTTAGGAAACAATCTTCAAATCTGCTGAGTACAAATGAATTACTACTGAAACGAAAGCTACTAAGAAAAATGGTAGTAGCCCTTTTACTTACGAGCTAGAATGTTCCCCCTGACTTGTTCATTTTATCACCCAAACTACAAAATCTGTAGTCACCATGCATTATACTTATGCATATGCCACAACATACTCAAAAATCTGTTGTGTCTAAATTTCTTTTACTTGATTTAGCTTGCTCGAGTGCTGTACTGGGAAGAGTTATAATTGCCGAGGTGAAGGGTTTTGATTAAATTGATCTTCCTCTGTCTAACATAGGTCTAATTTCATCTTGAAAAAATATTGCAGATTTATATGCCCCTTAAAAGGTTAGAAAGATCCTGCATTCTAGCAAACCTGCCCTGTATAGCCTTGCGTTCGATGCTATGATTTTTTTTCTGCCTTTTTTTCCTATATGTCCATGTGCACAGCTCCTTGGGAAGTTTTAGAAAAAAGTAGGACCTCCCAGAGATTGGCTGCTATAGTAGCATACTTAAAATATAACATACATATGCTAATAAAGGGCAATTAAATTACATTTGTAGGCTGTGTCCTCTTCTGAACATTATCCTTCTGACCTCTGAGACTGTAATCTCAGGAATGATTAAAGTTGGAATAAATTATCATTGTGGCAAAAGCAGCAGTCCTGCCCTTTTGCTTTCCTGCCAATGTTGGTTTTGCCAGCTCAGCTCTGCTACAGCTGTGTAGTAAACCAAATCAGGGGACTGGTCTGACTGAAAAATACTTCCCCACCCCTATTTAGGATATAAACTGTATGTTTACTTTCATATTTTCTCTTCAAAAAGATACCACAGTTCAGTACTGCAACACCTGACCTCCTTAGATATTCACAGTACAGGTATTTAAGAGGTATTTAAAAGAAACAAATATAAAAAGACAAAACTTTTGTTACATTTTCAATGGGTACTGCTGCTTCTTGCCTGAGGATTTAAAATTTTATTCTTTCAAGCAAGAAGATTATCTTGTAGTAACCAGTATGTGGAAAACATTGTTCCAGGAAGTTTGGGGGCATATTACAATGAAGGTTTCAGTTTGTACGGTAGAATGTTATACCATTCTTTATTAATTGTAGCATAATATAGTGTACAAAGAAAAACTGCTTTCTTTTAGATACTTATGCTTTACTTTTTTTTTAATGCTAGTGATGAGAATAATCCATGTTTTTTAGAAACTGTCTGACTACAAGGGGCAGTTCTATTACGCTGTCCCGTTGTGTACAGTACTCTAGGTACATGGGCATGGGCAGACTGGTCTGTCCGTAAGATTGTTCCTGAACTTTGAAACTTATTTTAATAGGCCTGCTAAAAGTTGTTTTACTGTTTTACTTAAAAAAACAGAAGCTGAACTACAGTGGATTAGAAATGAGAGATTGAAACAGTATAAACCAACCCTCGCTTAGGTTTTTGAGTGCCAAAGTGTGGTGTTGCATACCTATCTTGCTTTTTGTTTTGTCTTGCATCTGAAACAATTTCACTTCTCCAGTTTAAACATTAATATTGCTTTATTTTTAAGTTCTTATTTAAATTATGATGTTTAAAATTAACTGTTGTTTGTTTGTATATTTTTTTTAAGTATTAAAAAGCCTCTCTGCATAGTTGTACTGGTGAAAGCAGCAGTTGCAAAATAAAGGGTATAATTTTAACCACTGTAGGTTTATATTTATTATTTTTTTTTGTAATATAGAAAGTTCTATCAAGAAGAAATATAGAATTGGATGCTGGAGTTTTATAAAATAAGAAATGAGCCTGTGTTAGAAAATGATTTTTTTTCTATAACAGTCTTTCTTTCCTCTTTTTTTTTCTTTTTTTTTTTTTTTTTCTTCTTCTAGGACCGGAATAGGCCCTATGACACTTTTAACTTGCACTCTTTGGAAAATTCCTTAATGGATATGATAAGGACTGATCATGAGCCTCTGAAAGGTAAACACTACCCTCCCAGTGGCCCACCAATGAGTTTCGCTGATATAATGTGGAGGAATCATTTTACAGGTTAGGAATATTCATATGTCCATGCTTGCTTGGTGTTTGAACAAAAATCAGCTTTTCAGTATTGCTGTAAACTTCTTGCTTATGAATGAGTTGTCAGTTACGTGAAATTTCTGTTTTTCCATCTTGAGATAATAATCTCTAATGTGGGAAGATAAGGTGAAACGTGTAGACATTTATTGTAAGTGCACAATTATAATATTATCTAACTGACATTCCGAAACTTGGTTTTGTGTATCAGCAAATTGCATAGTTGGGTCTCCTGCTGCAGTCACTCAGATCAGAAAATGTGTAGTGCAACTGGAGCCCAATTGTTATGTTCAACATCTTACTCAAAGTTAATGCTACTCTTATTTCTAGATCATCAGCTAGTATACAGGGTTCTGAAACAGCCACTGTATCAAGCTTACTCTACAGTTGTTTCAGGTTTCTTTTAAAAAAAGTATCTTAATTTGGATTTCAGATTGTTAGGGGGAGCCAAAAGCTATTAGATGTTGTTAAGTGCTGGGAAAGGCTTGATTATTTATGCTACTAAACTGTGTGTGTTCTGCCAGGTGTAGCATTGGAGATGAAACCATTTCTAATACTTACCTGATACTGAATAGTGAAAGGTTGTGGCAGCATTTCAATGAATGAATATTCCTGATCAACCTGCACACTCCTCTGTCTTAATCTTTCATTGATTAAGTTTAAAAATAGATACACATTCTTGCTCATATGCATTCTTGCTGACTTTGAAGACTGAAGCTAGTAGTAAGCTGTGTACAAAAGTATTGAACTAGAAATGGTTCCCAAACTCTAAGAAGTCAGGACAATGGAACTGATAGAGAAGAAATTTAGTTGTGTATGGCACTTCCTATGCTAATGCTTATATACATACTTTTCTGATGTCACAACTGCCTCATTTGCTTCCTTCCCCATTTATATAGTACATGTGAAAAAATGTTTTTTTCTTGGTCTAAGGTCTTGTGCCTTTTTCACCATCTTTCTGGGTACAGAGTTTTTTCAACCACACCAAACTAGGTTCTGTACTCTCAGCTCTTTTAACCTGTGTTTTCCACTATTATCTTGAAATTTGCTGTACTATAGCCTTTGTGTGTCTTTAACCCTTTTTCAGCTGTCAAAAATGGCAAGAAATACTGTCTCATGTCTATTCTGATCATAGTTCCCCAAAATAAGTGTTAACTTGAAACTTAAAAAACAAGCTAAACAAAATAGAGATTTCTTCTGGATATACATTTCATATGGCTGGTATTAAAAAAAAAAATCCAAATTGCTAGTAAGTAGATTTAAGACTTTATTGTATCTTATTAAATGTATTATAATCTAGTTAAAACTCAATGATTTTTAAAAACAGTATTTATTTAAATATACAAATTGAGACTAATTCTTTAAAGACTGTATTTCTATATGAACCTGAGCATGGAAAAAATGAGAAAGACTGGATTAGAAATTGTATTACTCTAGAAAAAGACTTCACCATTACATAAATGCAATTTTGCTTATACTTTTATTATTGTCTCTTTATAACAATTTTAAATTTTTTTTTTTGATTGGAGTATTAGCATATAAACCAGTAATGGGTACAAATCTTTAATTATTTTGTGTTGTTTGGTCATTCTATGAAGAATAGTTTCCAATATTCAGCTGAGCTACTCTATATAAGTGTTGCAAGTGGCATATTCCACAGCTGCACCTGAGTGTTACAATGCTTTTTAATGTTGGTGTTTTGCATGAGGTAGAAATGAAAATCTTGGTTTCATTAAGCATTTTCATGCTTTTCAAGAAACATATCATTTCCAAAACAAACTTAGTATTTTCATCTCTGCTAGGTTATCAATTTATGTAGGAGACTGACTAATTTAAATGGATGTTTGGAAGCAGCAGGAACTGTTTCCCTCTGCTCAAGAAGTAATACCAAAGAGTTGGATATTAGTTGTAAAGTTTGAGTTGATCTTTTCCATTCGGCAGTGGGACTGTTAGCTTTACTTTTTGTCTAACAAACATTTCTGTCTAACTACCTCATTTTTTCACGCAGTGCTGCTCACTGTTCTGGCCTTACTGCCTTGTTACTTAACTGTCTTCCAGCTTCAAGTCCAGTAACTGTTGGAGAAGTCTTGTTTACTATTAGTTACCTCTCTGTGTCTCTGCCCAGCTGTTTTATTTCCCACTGATATAGTTAATTCCCTGTCTTGCTTGCTTTTCCTCCTCCCTCTAACTACAGGGCTTACTTTGCTAACCTCCAGCCTTGGCTTGACCTTGCATGCACTTTACTCCTGTTTTCACACTATGCAGCATGACTGGCAATATGCGTAGGAGTGGCTGTTTCAGGACATATTCATTCTCCCTTCCAAGAAGTGTTGTCTTCCTCTGTGTTAAACAGGTCTATGTTACTATTTTAACTGAATCCTTTTCATAAAAACCTGTTTTTCTGCAAACATTGATCTACTCCTCAAATCACTTTTGTATTGCATTCTCATTCTCATTCCCTTTTCTGTGAAAATTGGTCTTGACTCTTCCCCTGTACCTCCAACTTTCTGCCTTTCCTCTACCAAAAATGCAGAAGGTTTTCAGTTGCTGTCATTCTCTGCACCTTCCTCAGATTTGCCTTAATCTTGTCTTCTAAACTCACTTGCTTTTTTCTTATTTATCCTGCTCTCCTCTGGCTTTCCCCCTTAAAGTAGCAGCACATTTTAGTCTGTATTCACCTTGAGAAAGCATGTGATTGACCCTGCTTGCTTTTCCTTGTTTCTTAAGTCATTGTCACATTTTCATTTATTTTCACCTTGAAGCTTTTTGAATATACTGGTTATGTACTTCAGCTTGATTTTTCAGTTTGTTATAGCCATTCCTATGTGAATGCCTCTTGTGCAAAATTTGAACTGCTCTTTCTGGAATCTTACTAACTTCACCAAATCTCAGAGCTACTTCCTCTTCATTTTACCTCATCTGTCTTTCATAGTAAAGTGGGTGTGGTTTTTCCCTTTTAAAGCTTCACTACCTCTGGCATCTGTGACTGTCCTCTCTTAGGTTTTGTGGAGCTTTTTCTTGTTTAGATAGAAAGTAAAACAACTACAAAAATCCTGGTTTTAAAAAACAAACAAAGAAAAATAATGAGATGGCTTTCAAATGACTTTTTTAATTGTTCACCTTTTTGGTAAACAAGCCTTGTTTTCTCAAACAATGTTAGCTAACAGCGCTTACATGTCAGTTGGCCTTATATTTACTATCCAAATTTTTAAACAGAACGTGTGAAAAGATGAGTACCAAAAGCCTCTGATTTTGAAAACACAGATTTAATTCTAGAAAAGCTGTACATGTCTTCGAGCCTCCAATGCATGTTACAAAGCCAGTGCAGCTATTTCAGGATCATTCCAGCCTGCTGCTGGCAACAAAGACTTCAGCAAATGCATATTTTTAGAAGTACAGTCTATGTATGTATTCATTAGTAAAATACTGCAGGTGATTTATCTGAAGTTTGAAACTTTGCTTGGAACATAGCCCCTCTTGGCATGTGCATCCCCTCACATCCCAACAGATACTTGAAACAACAAAAAAATTTTCTTGGATATAGAACAAGGGCTCTATATTAGAATGTGAATGGGAGGGTTAACCATAAAAGGTTCTAATGTGAAGACCAAATTGAAATGGTTGTGGGATATTTTCTTCTCATATTGGTGTATAAGTTCCTCATGCTCTGCACTGTTCAGTGAAGGTAGTGAAGAAGCTCAGGGGTGAGAAAGGAAGAGTCTATCCTCTTGTTTGTAGTAGTTGAAACTTCATACTTTCTCTGAATCTGAGGTGAGGTCAAACTTTGTCCTGCAGGCCATGGAGATTGAGTGTATTTCAGGGTCACCAAAGCAGGTCACTTTTTTTTAAAGCATGATCCACTTGGCCTTGAGAGGGCATCTGACTAAGCCACTTTTTTGGGGTGGTGTTGCTTTCAAATGTGGAACAAGAGAAATGCTGAAAGATTGTTAGTGCAGCAGAACTGCTCCTCAGTCTTGCAATATTGAATTACTTATATTGAGCAAGTGCTGACTGAGTCTGATTGGCAGGCTGGCTTGGTGCTCTCCAGCTAGGAGAGCTAGGGTCACTTAGTTGGTTTTGGGTGTTTCTTGCTGTGAGAGAGATGTGATACCTAGCTCTGAGGTTTCTGGACTTAGATATAAATTACCAGCTTATCCATCTATGTTGCATTTTGTCTTGAGTCTAGTCTTGGGAGAAGGTGTTCAGTGTCAGTTCTTACTCTGTTTCTGTCTAAAACTGATTTATTTTTCTCAGCTTTTCCTGCCAGATAGGGGTACCCTGCTTAGGTTCCTGTCTTTCTGTCCTCGTAATCTGGAAACTGTGTAACTTTACAAATTGTTTGCCATTTTCATGCTTTGAGATCTAAAGAATGTAAACTCGTTAAAGAGGAAGTCTCATTTTCTTTTCTCCCAAGACAGTTAGGCAGACTTCCTTACCTGCTTTCTCTGCCATCAAGACCAGCTTCAACATTTTTATTCTCTTTCAGTCAATACTCGTAAATGCTTTTCTCCTTTCAAAAAGGAGGGGAAAAAAGAGGAAAAAAAGTACAGTAAAGGAATGAAGCTTCTTCTAGTGAAAGATGAATTACTGTGTATGGCCAAGGGTATCTGGTTGTTCCCTGTGTCAGTAATAACCAGGCCTATATGACAGAAGTGTGCAATATCTTCTAAGATGTTCTTCCTGAACCGTCTCAATTATTTTCTGAGTTGCCAGTAAAATATATTCTACGCTACAAAAACATGGCAGAGTTTTGCTTTAACGAGGAAAGGATATTTTTGCAGTATTTTATAACCTGTTGGTATTTACATACTGCACCTACCCAATGCTAGGGGAAACGTGAATTACCAGAGTAGCTATGGGTAGATGCTACTTATTACGACTGAAACATTTCTTCCCTACATCAA